TGTCATATCTTTTAGAGTTATATTATATGTTCTTCCTATCTTATATCTTTTTGTGTTGAAGTCCTTCGGTTTCTGAACGATGTAAAGTAAGCCTTCACTGCAACGTTCCGTATCGAATGAACCATATGTTATGAAGTTATATCCAACAACTGGGTCTAACCATAACAAAACTATTGGTATAAGACTTTTGTCAATGAGATATGCTGTAGTTCCATAGAATCTTACCGATATTATAAGCTCAGGATTTCTTGTCAAAATTTTCTGAGTAGAAGCAATTCTAACCCAGTCCTTCGGTCTCTTTCCAGATGGAGATATAATGTCTGACAAAGAATATTTGTTGTATTTCTTTGAGTATCTTACGTTTAAATCACCAATTCTAACCACTTTGGTGTCATTGTCTATCTTTCTAACTGTTTCAAACTCAATGTTTAACATTTCTGTTCTTACATACAAAATAAAAAAATAAAAAAAATAAAACTAACTTTATTTTTTCTATCTTAAGGAAATTCATGATTTTCATCGTAAATGTTTTGTCAAGACTTCTTCGTAAATGTTTTGTCACCTCTTGAATTTTCATGATTTCATCGTATATGTTTTGTCAAGACTTCTTCGTATATGTTTTGTCAAGACTTCTTCTTCGTAATGAGCGTAAATCAGACAAAAATAAAGTTTATGTTAGAAGGTTAGATCTAACCTGTTTTCTAACCTCTTTTCTAACATGGTCTAAAACACACAAAACTCATGAAATTTCATACGGAATTCAGCAAAAATAAAGTTTATGTTAGAAGGTTAGATCTAACCTGTTTTCTAACCTCTTTTCTACCCCAGTTATTTTATAAGCGTTTTACATGGTATATGTTGCGATGGTTCATGACTTTAAACAGTTTTGTAGCCTCTATTTCTTCTTTTAGTACATCGAATGTTTTAACTATGCCGAAGGTTTCTTTATACTTCTTCTTGACGTCAGATAATAGGAAATCGTCAGCAGTTGGATAGTTTTTGTTCAGAAATGCTAACATGTTCATTTTATCTTCTGCTGGTTTTTCTGCTTCTTTCTTTAAATCTGCATAGTCGTTTCTCATACGTTCTATCTCTTTGACGGAGTAGTTATATTTCCTCATTGCTGCTTTACATTTTGAACATTGCGGGTTCATTTTTGCGTTATATTCTGAAACCTTACCTGCTAGTATGACTAAGGCGTCAATTGCTCTCTTCATCTCAAACATAGCGGGTCTTATTTGTTCGTTCCATACTTTGCCTCTTCTATCTTTATCTCTTATCTGCCATACACATTCAGCAACTAACGAAACAAAGTTGTCGTAGGTCTTAAATTCTTCAGATTTATATATGTCAGAAACATTCTTATATACCATGTCGCAATCTTTGTCCATAACCTTATGGTTGCAATGAAATCCTAGAAACTCATAGTTTACCTTTCGAATGAACTTCTTTATTTCTACTGAGTCAGTTGGTTTCACTTCTATTTCGTCAAATTCGGGAATGGTTAGTTTTTGTTGTTGGATTTCAGGTAGTTTAGGTAAATGGTCAATAATGTCCTGCATTTCATAAAGATACTGTTCATTTGTTTCATCTTTCGCACTACAGTCTAAATTATTTGTTAAAAGTTCTTGCTTTATCTTCTGGATTTTTGTTTCGAAAGTATATGAAGAAGGAATGAAGTTTTTCATCTCTACTAACATAGATGTTGGATTCATGACTAAAGAGTTTGGTGCTGTTGTTGCTAACATGTTCTTACAATAAAAATAAAAAAATATTTTTTTAAAAAAACCAACTTTATTTTTTATTTCGGGAAAATTCATGACAAATTCAAGAGGGTAGAAAAGAGGGTAGAAAACAGGGTAGATATACCCTTCTACCCTAAAATATATTTTTGCTGAATTCATGAGTTTTGGTTGAAAGAATACGGTGGAGCCAAAAGTGGCTCGACCTCAAAACAAGCATTTTGTGAAGAATAATACAAAATTCAAGAGGTTAGAAAACAGGTTAGAAAAGAGGTTAGATCTAACATTCTAACATAAACTTTATTTTTATTGAATTTAGCAACAAAATGAACGAGGTCATTTACTCACAATATTTTTTTACAAAACGACCCCAAACTTTTAACTTCTTTTCTGCAGCTTCTAATGAAACTTTAGCGAGTTCATATTCTCTAAATTCTCTTTTTAAATCTTCTTGTTCCCATTGGTCTAGTTCGTATGGAGAGTCTCTATAACCAGAACATATCTCGCGTTCATGTTCTATTTGTTTTTCATGCATTTTTCTAACTTCTTCTTCGAACAAAGGTTTTGCATTCTCTGCTGTATCTTCAAGTTCTTCTTCATCTAATTTCTCATGAACTTTCTTGTCTATGGAGTCCAGAATTTTTCCAACTGCTATGCAATATTTTGGAGAAGCCCACATTGCTATATAGTTTGTAAGTCTTGGGTCTACATACATTCCTCTAACCTGTTTGATTTCATCGGGAATTCCTGCATGAACTGTGTATAAAAAGCAACCCGCGGAATTCCGCGGGTTGGTATATTCTTCACAAAATGCCTTAAAATACTCTTCCCAGGACTTATTTTCCAACAACCTTCTAAAGTCTTTCCTAAACTGCTGACACATATTTGTTGCATTTATATAACCATCCTTGTCTCTACGTAAGACTTCAATACCGTTGTAAGTGCCTTTTGTGAATGTTTCGCCATTAGATTTGTTCGTGAACGTTTTTGCTTCGACTGTCATACTGTTCTTACAATAAAAATAAAAAATATTTTTTGGTGGCTTAACCGTCGGACATTCGTTTGTGGCTTAACCGTCGGACCACCAACGATAAAAATCTCTGCTACTAGCAGTACTGCTACTGTCAGTAGCAGTACTTTTTCTGACAGTAGCAGTACTTTTTCTGACAGTAGCAGTACTTTTACTGACAGTAGCAGTACTTTATCGTCGAAAACCCTCTCAAATTTTCCTTTTTTCTGCTCCTAGCAGTACTTTTACTGCTCCTAGCAGTACTTTTACTGACAGTAGCAGTACTTTTTCTGACAGTAGCAGTACTTTTTCTGACAGTAGCAGTACTTTTACTGACAGTAGCAGTACTTTTACTGACAGTAGCAGTACTTTTTCTGACAGTAGCAGTACTTTTACTGACAGTAGCAATGGACAACATCGAGCCATTAGATGAGGCAGTTTACCTAATTGAAATTAACGAGCTTGTTAAAGACTTCCTCAGGCAGAATGTAAAAGGCAAGCTTGTTAACTGTTGGATAACGGGAAGGGCTGCCTTGAATCTCGAGATTTCGACTGGAATTCCAATTCAAATACCAGAAAACACTCCTTTCGACGACATAAAGCAAGCAAAGAAAGAAGCCATTATAAAGTTCCTAAACAAACGTCCTTGGATACTACTTCCAAACAGAGAGAGTCCAATTCCACGAATTATACAAATTCTCAGAGCACTGTTCCACTACTCTGGTCAGCCGTTCTACATAACTACAGAAGGCGACATCCAACCAATCCAGTAAACATCTCATTTTAACTCACTTTTTTTATGTTTTTTGTGAAAGTGTCAAAAATAAATTGTTTATTTCATGCAATGTTTTATTTCTGTGCCGTCTTCAAGTATGCCCCAATATTTCCTTTTCGATATTACATGAACTTCGGAAAATACCTTATCTAGCTTAAAACAGCCCATTTTCTCACCAACTAAACCCATTTCAATGAGTTTGTTATACCCTTCTTCGTTCGTCATGAGTGCATCGATGTTCTCGTAGTAAACCTTCACTTTGGATTTAACCTCTGAGAAGAATTTGTTGTAGTTGTCAAGGACTGCCTTTGCGAACTGAGGATAGGACCAATGTTCGACAATAGGTTTTAATGTGGTTACTAAGCCACTTTGACCTTCGGTGAACTCGTACTTCAAAACAAAAGGAGAAAACCTTTCAACAAAGTTGTCGACCTTCTCATAATGTTTACTCTTCATCTCTTGAGGTTTCTTAATGGAATATCCCCATGTCGAATTCATAAGCAATTTGAGTGTCATTGCAAGTTTGGGGTTTGAAGCTTTCCTAATATCATAGAGTTGTTGTATGACTTTTCCAACTGTATAGTTCCTTCCTGGGAACTCTCCATCTTCGTTTGGAATTCCAGTCGGGATATATTGGACGAACCTCATGTACGCAGCGTTAAGGTCGACATAGTATATTTTTTCGTATGAGTCGAACTTGTCACAACCAATCGGACCAGTTCGTGGAAATTCAAGTGAGTCTCTTATCTTCTGAGAAACTTCTCCTGTTATCTCATAAACATCGTCGAAGCAACCTGTTTCATATAAAACCTTCTGACCTAACTCAGATGCTCTCCAATACAATTTGACGTCAATTGGATGTCTCAATGGAAGTTTGTTTATAGCATCTTGAAGTTCTTGCAACCTCATTGGAAGTTCTTCTGGTTCAGGTTGGTATCCGAACAATCCAACTCCTTTTGGAACTGTGTACTTCTTTTGTGCTATAACTTTGTCTGGAACAACTTTTGGTCTTGCTAACAGTGAAAAGTTTGTTTCGTCTTTTGGTACAAAAGTTTCTGTCAGCTTGTCATCTGGAATCGGTTCCAACAAACCTTTCTCGAAAAGAATGTTAACAGCTCTGACAATGTTGCACTTGCCTTTTCCGAACAATGGGTTTGTAAGACTTTCGTTCAACATGAAGTGGTTGTGGACAATTACAATCTTCAACCATGGTAAGTCTTTGTCAACAACATAGTCGTCATGTGAAGAACCTTTAGCTGTAGGTATGTTAACGCGGATATTGACATTTGCCAACGGTGCAATTTTTGACAATTGCCCTCTGAGAATGTACCTTGTTTTCACACATGACTCAAGATACTTCATCTTCTCTTCTGTAACAAGACCAGAGTTCCTGAGACATGTAAGAATGCAAGGTTCGTTGACAATTGTTTCAATTGAATTGTAAATTCCATACCTTGTCAAGTCAATGTCAGACTTATTTCTGAAGGGGAAGTATCCAGCATGTTGTCTGACTGCTTGAGGGTTAGGTTGGTACCATTCGAACTTGACACTTGCAATTCCTTCAATTGCATTCAAAATGTCTGAGTCGGAGTCAACCATTTGTTCTCTCTTTGTAGTCTTGAAAGCGTCAAGAAGCATTGCAGCTGTTGTGACATTGCCATGTGCATAGTAAATGTGACCATCCAAATCTGTTATGGTCAATCTGAGATTGTATCCTTTCTTATTTCCGTCTTGTATGGCAGCAAGTACACCCATGAAGCCTTCTTTGTTCTTTCCTTCGTCAAAGTTTACTGTAAAGGTTCGACCAGATGTAATTTGACTTCTAACTTCACGATACTTTTCATATGCATATCTTGTTCTTTCCATGGGAGCATGACCATCCTCTGCACTACCTTTTTTCCTTCTCAAAGGATGCAATTGTTCGTCATGTTTCCAGTAGAATCTGGCAAAGCCGTCGTGTCCTTCAACTTGAGGTTCACTAACATTGAAAGGCAAGTTCATAAGACGTTCTTCTTCTAACCTCTCTAGTCTGTTTGGATAATTGGCGCGCGCTGTTTCCAAATCCATTTCGTAGGTCAGACCAGCCAGTTTGTCATAGACTTTTATGGGTCTTCCCTTCCTATATTTAAACTTCTTCGAAACTCTCCAACCATATCTTTGCAACTCTGCTTTTATTCTAGCAGATTTTCTATCCATTCTATACGGAGGCATTTTTATAAAAATAAAAAAATGTTTTTTCCTTTACTTTACATAACCACCTGCTGCCATAAGCCTTTGACGCCAACCCATACCAGCTAATGAAGGTTGACTTGGTTTAGTTTGGAAACTAACCTTTGGTTTTGGTTTTTCTTCAGTTTTTGGCTCCCCTTCTTCTATTGGTTTTTCGTCACTTTTCGGTTCATTTGACTTTACCTCACTTGCTTGAACAGTTGTGTCGTCAACATCTTCATAAATATCATATGCCATCTGTTTTTGTTTTCCTTTCAACTTTTTGTGTTTGTTGTAAAGTTTAGAATATTTCGACTCTAAGTCAATGAGATGTTCTATAATGAACTGTTGGTCAGTGAAGTAAACTTTTCCATCTGTTGTCTCGAAAGCTCCTTCAGACTTCAATATTTTATTTGTGAGAGTCTGTTTCTTTTTGAGATACTAGCCGTTCCATTTCTATGAAAAGTGACTTTATAGTTAGGGTTTGTATTTCCAGACCTGGCACTTTCTATTATTTTTTTCTCTTCATCTGTAAGTTCTTTGACAGGTTTTGACAATGGTTCTGAACTTTTTGTTTGTGGTGTCAAATCTACCGTTTCAACTTCTTCGGTCATTTCATCTCAGTAAAAAATTTTAGTTTGGTTTGTTTTCAACTGGTTGTTTAGGTTTTTTAAGTCGGTCTAAAACTTCTTGAGGTATAGGAAGAACTTGACAAACACGTGGTTGTGTAACTGCTGGAAGCCGACAAAGCCATCTTGAACCCATTTGTCTCAAAGCTGTATTGTTCATTTCATCTCAGTAAAAAACTTTACATTCCCCACGTTTGAGGCGGTTGAGGTTGGTTGTTGTTTACCCACTGTTGTGCATGGTTATATCCTCTGTTAAAGAATCTTTCACCTTGGTCCATGTAGTGCCCTGCTTGGTTATAGTAGTCATTTGCTTTGTTATAGTAGTTTCCTGCTTGTTTTCCTACATTGTCCATCCATCCTTGAACTTTTCCTCTTGTTTCAGGATTTGGAATAAGATTTGCTGCATCTCGTGCTACATCCCAACCTTTCTGTACAGTTTGTATAATAGGTTGTGCTTTCTCTTTAAGTATACCTAATGTACTCAAAATCTTCCTTCCAACTCCAAATACACCTCTGGCTATTGTTCCCACTGCGGGTAAAAATCTGGATGCAACTCCTGCTAATGCGCCAAATAAACCCATTTCTTATAGGGTAAAAAATGACGAATCCAAACAAGGACCCCTATGTTTCTAAGGCAACAAAGAAAGCACTCATGATAAAAATCTTTAGTTCAACACCAAATGCTTGGTTTATGGATATCTTGGAAAACATTCCGAGAGTTAGAACAGATGGACCTCCATACTGGTTAATATTTGTTGGTCAAAACACAAGATACTGTGAAGCCATACCATTACAGTCCAAAAATATTTTAGATGTGAAAACTGCTTTGACAATATTCGTTGACAAATACCATCCAACAAAACTGACATCTGACTGTGAAAGTTCTTTCAAATCAGACGATATTAAAAACTATCTGCGTTCAAAAAATGTAAACCAATATTTCATTGTCGACCAAAACCATTCTGCTCTTGGTGTCATTGACAGTTGTATAAAAATCTTAAGAGACTTAAACCAACCACAAGGTGGTGAGGTAGATGAAATGTCATATGACGACAAGTATAGACACTTCTCCAGGCAAAGATGAGACAAGTTTTAAATATTTACAATAGCCGTAAACAAAAAGGTTTGGGAAACCACTCCCCTGAAGAAATGAAAAACAACCCTGACTTAGAGAAAGACTATATATTTAATAGTTTAGTCAAAAGAGACAAACAAGAAAGAATGCCAGGCTTCAAACTTCAGAAAGGTGACAAAGTAAAAATAGAAATACCTAAACGCGACCCATATGAAAATACTATTGACTATGACAACAACAAGTACCCGACAGGTACTCACATTCGTGTTCGTAAAAATAGAAGAAAGTATACAAGAGAATATTATGAAGTTTTAGGCAAACATGGCAAAATGTACACACTGCAAGCAGAAGATAAAACTACTATTGTCAGACCTCGTTTCAAACTTGTCAAAGTTCAAGGTGGTATACTTTCAAAGACAGTTCCTAACAAATATAAGACAACTCCTGACGAATATGCTAAAGAAGTTGAAAATGACGACTAAGCAATTCTATACCATGCGTAAACTGTCATGTAAGGTGGCATGTAGTCTTTACTTTGTCCCGTTGTTTGTGTATATCCTGAAACGAAATGTGTATGGTTTCCTTCTCCCTGAGTGTCATCCCAGTAACAATTTATAGCAAACTTAACGTCGTCTTTAACATCATATCCTTTACCTTTTGTCATTCCTGACCAATCCCAATATCTATGCCTATGCCAACCTGCTTGAGATGTACTTAAATCTATGTAGTGACTGTGTGCAGGTAAGTTTTCACCTGAAATCGTTTTACTTCCACCTGTTTCCTTTGAAGAGTTTGCACAATACAAAAACCTGTCGACTATTTGTTCCCATGCACCAACACCAAACATTACTTGAGGACCTCTTGCTTCCATAGATGTATAAATAGAACCTACTGGGTTCATTAAATCAAACATATGAGATATTATAGGATTGTCTCTTTTGAACTTAAAATATAGTGCAACTATTTCAGGTTTCTTCTGGTTTGTGTTAGAATATTTTTTATAATATAATCTTATGTTTTCAGGGTAGGTAAAGTCTTGACTATAATATTTATTTCTGTCATCTTCATAATAGTATACTATTCTCGTTTTTTCTATTGCATTATATCTTTTATATCTATAAAAATCTAAATATAATGTTAGCTTTTGTTCATCTACATGTGGTGTTCTAACGTCATCTCCATAGTCATAATAATATGGTGCTGGAGCTGGGTCAGGCAATGTCATATCTGCCATTTCATAAACTCTTAAATATTTCTTTTGTTCGTCTCCATATAAGTTTAAGTAGCAGTTGTTGTCTAATGGAACTTTAACTTGTGTACCATCATTCTTTATATAGCTTACATACATTTCATTGTTATTTTTCGGAATGAGTTTATACCGTGTACCATTTTCTAAGGACTGTACCAACTGCCATCTAAAATATTTATTTTCTTCATTGACAGAAAGGTCACCAACAATAGTCTCAATATTTTTTGTTCCAACTAAACTTTGGTATATTTCATTGACATATGTTTTATCTGCTTTCTTTTCAAGGCTAACGTTTAAGTCTGTTATTTCAGAAGATGTATGTGTATGTCCAACGTCACTTTTCCTGTTTAAGGTTTCTTGTAAGTTTGTAATATTTGCAATGGTATGTGTATGAGTCTTTTTAGAATATTCGTTTTCAGCTCTTGTCACTTCACTTGACATTTTATTGTCAACATATGTTTTGTCTGCTAGTTCAGGATGAGTATGTTCTTTTGTTGCATATGTTGCATCTGCTCTGTCATGTTCTTCTTGAACTTTTTCAATGACATACTCTTTGTCAGCTTTGTTGTCAACATCTGCTTTTGTTGCATATGTTGCATCTGCTCTGTCATGTTCTTCTTGAACTTTTTCAATGACATACTCTTTGTCAGCTTTGTTGTCAACATCTGCTTTCAAAAGAAGTTCATCTATAGGTTTCTCGTTTAAAGTTCCTTTTGTTGGATTTACACAGACAGTATGGTTCTTACTGTCTTGAAATAGAAACTCGTCTGTCAATGGGTTTAATGTCAGTTTTAAGTTTCCTTCTTTCAATGACTCAGATATCTTAGAATAGTTTGAAAAGTTTGTTGTGTTCTTATTTAGAGCTTGCAAAATGAGTTGTCGGTTGTGTTTTATTTCTCTCATAGACGCTGTTTCTTTCGACATTTTTATTCTAGATAAAATATGCTTTCAATAGAAAAAGAAAATTCAAGAGTTGCTACAACTAAACCATTAGATGAACTTTTTACGAATGTCGGTCAAAAGTTTGAGACAGAGACCGTAAAGCATGAAGGCTATCGTTTTGACTACCCATTAAGATGGCTAAGAGACCCATCTGTCACAAAAGCTATTGGCTTTCGTAGAATGAAGTTTGTGTCTGTAGAAGATAAAAGTTTTCCATTTATTGTAAGGTTTCATATAGATTATATATCTGAAGGGAAACGAAAAATGTGGGAAGAAATTGAGCTAATACAAGTTGACCTTTCATCTTCTCTACAGACTGCGTTAAAAAATATAGAAGATAAAATAAATTCATGTTATGCAAAATATGCTGATGAATATGCAAATACCGAGAGCACACTTTATGTGAGAATTGTATATGACAAACAAAATTCACAAGTGTCATTTCAAATCTACGAAGACAATCCAAAGAAAGACGAACAAATATATACAGAATTCACTGCAATGTCATGGTATTATTTGCAAAGAATGTTAAATCAGAAAGTCGAACTTCCTTTAGCAAATATTTACAGTCGATATGCAAGAGATGAACCATATTTATTTAAAGATGTTTTCGACCCAGCTGCTATTATTGTTCATGCTTCATTTTCTGGCGCCCAAAACTCTTTCTTATGCTTGGCAAATGACTTTTACGAAAAACCTACAAAGTTATACGAACCACCAAGTGGAAGTATTTCAGACTTTCAAGTATGGTTTACTACAGATGGAAGAAAAAGAATAATTCCATTATACCATGCGTTTTACTTAGAACTTAGTTTCATATACAACTACTATCGAACGGTAAAAATATAATTTTTTAATACGGTTGAGGTGTTGGATTTGGTTGCCAACTAGACTGTGGTGCAGGTTCAGGCTGTTGTATAACAGGAGCTTGTTCTTCTGGTTCAGGGTCTTTAGGTATAATACCAACAAACTGACCTACTCTTTTACCAATATTTTTGACTCCGTTCCAAATTCCTCTTCCTACGGTTTTTATTCCATTCCATATACCTCTTCCAACATTTCGAAAGAAGTTTCCAATACTACTGAAGAAACCCATTTTACTATATGTAAAAATCTAATGTCCGCCTAGTCTCTTACGTTTCCTGTTGAGTTCCATAGCATTCTTTAACTGGAGCTCATACATTCTGTTTCTCCTCTGGTAGAAAACATATTCTGGGTCAACTCCTGTGTTCGCGTCATCTGCATAAAGTTGTTTATATCCCACTTCAGGGTTTGTATAAAACTCTTTCCATCTCATATTTGCATACCATGGTGGCAAACCTAACGCAGCGTCATTTGACATGGCAGTTTGCATTTGTACATCTGTTGGCACTTGACCATAGTTTGCCATTGCAGTTTGTATTCTAACTTCATTTGGAATATTCTCTGGGTTTGGTTGTCCAGGTTGCTGTGCATTCGCTAAGTTCTGTGCGTCCATTTAATATTAGATAAAAATATCTCTTACGAGTACATATACTGGACATTTGCAGGCATTGGTTCATCTTCATATTCTCTGTACTTTTCTGCCACGTCAAATAAATAAATGACACAATGGAAAAAACCTAAAACAAGTAGTCCTATTTCAAACCACATTTACTTACCAATAAAATTTCTTTATTGTGACACTTTCTCCGGTTTATAGGACCTCTCTCATATTCTATCTTGTCATATCTAAACTCATAGTCATGTATGTCCTCTAACCATCTCATAACGGTTTCCAAACCACTTTTATCGGATGTAAAGTAAAAGCATGGATGGTTATGTAAAACGTCTAAAGTTTCTAAAGAGTCTCTCAAAGTCCAGTCTACTTGGTATTGAAAATCCCATGTGTTATAGAACGGCGGGTCCACTATAAAGAAAACATTTTCCTTGTCTTTATATTTTTCATACAACTCTGTCCAATAACATCTCACAAACTCTATACCCTCAATATATTTTTCTATGTCCTCTTTGAAAACATTTGTATAGTTAAGATATAAAACTTTTGACATAAGTGTTTCAATGTCATGAACTCTTATAGAACCACTATATAATAGTCTAGCAGATATACTATCCCAGTCTATATATTCTGCTTTTTTCAAAACCTCTCTCACAATATTTTTCTTATCTAATGGTATACGTTCCATCTTACCTATAGGTATCTTTTCTTTTAACTCTTTCAATATTTTGTTAGTGTCTGGAATATGTTTGAGACGGTCCATATAGTTGTCGAAGTCATTGCATATAATCTTTGAGTCTGGGAATATTGTATGGCACAAATGGGATATATAGAAACTTCCACCGAACAAATCTACAAATGTTAGACCATTCGGTAGTTTCTTAAGTTCTCTCAATATAATATCTTTACATTTACTCTTATTTCCAAAGAACGGTAACGGTGGTTTTGTAAAATTCATTTATATATAATAATAAAAATGTTTTTACCTGAAAAGTGACAGAAAAGTAACAAAACATGTACGAAGAAGTCTTGAAAATTCAAGAGGGTAGAAAAGAGGTTAGAAAAGAGGTTATATCTAACCTTCTACCCTAAACATTATTTTTGTCTGATTTTACGAAGAAGTCTTGACAAAACATGAAAACATATATAATTTGTGAAAAGCTCCTGGAAGACCCGTATATAAGAACTTCATTTATACTAAACATCTTCAGGGCTAGAAGGCACGAAGTGCCTGGAAGCCCCATTACCTTTTTTTTTTTTTTTTTTTTTTTTTTGATCCGAACTCTATACTACTAACATAATATTTTTATTTCATTTTTATAAAGTTTATTTGATAACAATTCTGTTTTTATATTATTAGCCAAAAATAATTCTTTCCTCTCAAAAGTCACCTTTCTGCCATCACCATTCCCTCAAAATTTCACTAAAAAATTGGGGATGTTATTAAAACGGTAATTCCTCTTTACTAAAAATAGTATTTAATGAAAGAAAATGCAGGGGGTAAAACCCTAGGGTGACAGGAGACTTCAATTGAATGAAAGAATATCAGATGTCCAAAATAGTGTAAGCATCAATTTTCATTCAGAGGCAAAGAAATTCATATTACATGAAAAATAAAAGGTTGAATATTACGAACATTGCAGAAACAATCTAGTAGATGCTTATGTATTTGATTAACTTAAAATAAAACTAACCTAAAACTTTTCTTCTCAAAAAATGCTACCTCTCAAATTAGTTCTCAAAAAATACTAGTATTCAAATTTGAGAAGAATCACAATTTCAATATCCTTTCAAATTTATACCATTTATCATTTTATTTCAAATCGAGAATGTTTCAAGCGGAATTTGCCAAGGTATTGCTCCCACCGAAGACCCTTTGGACCAAAGAAGAAGATAAGCTCTTGACATCCGTTGTCCAACAGTTTGGACCAAGAAAATGGAACTCCATCGCTGAACACATCCCTGGCCGTACAGGTAAACAATGCCGCGAGCGCTGGGTAAGTCATATTTCTCCAGAATTGATCAATATAGAATGGAATACTTCTGATGATGAACAATTAATCAACTTACACAATTCTCTTGGAAACAAATGGGCAAAGATCGCCCAATTCTTCCCAGGAAGACCACCGAATGCTATCAAAAACAGATTCAACTGTATTCTTAGAAAGAAAGCTAGAGATTCTCGATTAAGCCCCTGTCCTTCAGTCTCGAACGAAAAAATCATTTCCAAGGACAATACCAATAATGAAGATGTCTCTATTGACTCCTTCTTTGAGATAGAGTCAGTAAATGACTTTGGTCAGATTGACTGCGAATCTTTATTCGATTCTTCAGTATTTTCCGTTGATTTTTAGATTATAAAGTGTTTGTTTGTTATTTAATATTAAATTATGGCTTTTTTTTTGCAAAATAGAGCATTCAAAATTGCATGGGGCGAACCTAAGATTAAATAGTACTATAGTTCTTATTGCAAACAACAATAACAACCGATTGTTTCATATAAAGCAACTTTGATAAGAATCACAAAAGATTGCATCAAAAACAGTCATTTATAGACAATAGTTGCATAATCACGTGTATTAACAACAATAACACGTCGTTGTTGCTCATAAAGCAACTTTGAGAAGACTTTGTATCAAATACAAAATCTATTGAAACTCCATTTTTCTGACCACAACCTTTCATGACAATTATTCTAAAATCGTCCAAAAATACATCCCAATTCAGAGAATACCAAAATAGAGTGCATTGTTAGCAGTTTTACACCCTTTCTAAATTTTCCTTTACGAAAAGTGACACAAACTTTACATATCGTTGCAATAGACCCTGAATAAAAAATGAGTTCTAGATATTTTTCCAGCACTTTATCTGGAAAATCTAATATAGGAGGAGATAACTCGTCATCTAAAATTGATTCTCTTCGAAAACAACTCTATCAACAATATGAAAGCGCAATTTCTTCATCAGAAAAGTTTAAAACAAATGATTCACACGCATTTACGAGACCTCCAACTTTTGCTGGATATCAGACTACCAATAAACGAATAAAAAAGCTTCCTCAATATAATTTTGAAGAAGAATCTTTAGTTTCAAAATTTGGGGGAAGCTCGCCAATTAAATCTCGATACATGAGAAAAACCTACTTATTTGATGCTGATGGAGATGATTTCGATGGAGTTAGTACGTATAAACCAAATATATCTTCTCGTCTTCCATTAACAAAGCCAACATCTCTATCTATGTATAGAGAAAAGTTTGGAGAATCAATATCTGGTACTGATAAAGACATTTCTTCAACATTTATTCAAGATGTCGATTTATCTGACGATTTGTTCGAAACAAACACGAATACTGTATCATATAAACCAACAAATACAAATCCATCACGTAGTGAATTATCAAAGACTTCATCATCTAAAAATCAATTTTCAAAGACTTCAAAGAAGCCAATTACTCAAAGAAATGATCGATTTACTGATATAATTCACGATGATAACAAAACTGCGAATGAAGACTCAATAGATTTCGAAATACAATCAACACTTCGAAACCAATTAAGAAACCGCTCTTCAAGCCATTCTGAATTACCAAGTAATAAGAAACCATCGAATTCAGACCAAAATTTAAATCAAGAAAAATATCATCAAAAATCTACAACTGATTATCAAAAATCATTTAATGATTTGCCAAATCCATACGACGAACTTAACAAAAACAACAAAAACAAGAAAATTTCCAAAAATAATATTCCAAACAAAAAACCATTGGAAATTAATACAGAATCACCATATGTTGAATCTATCATATCATCACCAAAGATTTTACCTCAAAATACCAAAATAATTTCTGAAAATCAGGAAAATTCAAACAAACAGAGCAAAAACATTAAACCTACAAATACATTGGATCTTGATAAGAAGCCTGTTTCTGATGGAAAACAAAAGTTTAAAGAAAATACAATAAATTCAATGAATCCAAGCAAAGGAAATACTAAATCTGATCAAAACATTACTACAAAACCATCAGATCTTGACAATAAACCTAAAAAAGAAGAAGATCAGAAAATTATTCAGATAAAACCTAAAGAAGAAGAAATTATCCAAGAAAAACCTGCTGTAATAGATCCTCTTTATCCGAATTCGAACAGATCATTGAATCAAAAGCCAAAAGTTAATAAATTTGAAAAAATTTCATCAAATCAGAAAAATCCAACATTGATTATCACACAACCTCCAAAACAAGATGCAGCAAGTATTAAACCATCAAAAATGCCAACTTTTGACTTAGACTTGAATTCACCACAGATAATTCAACAAAAAACAGATAAAACAACTGAAATTGTCAATGACAGATCCATTAGAGACACAAACACTCCAAAACATGCCGAAGAAAAGGAAGATGAAAAAATTTCTCAAAATAATTTTGAAAAAATCAATGATGATACAGATAATTCTGATCCTTCCAAGCAGAAAATATCTCCTACGAAGCCAGAAGATAAAAATGATGAAAATCAAAAGAAAGATATCGTAATTTCTCCAGAAGAAAGGAAGAAAATGCTCTCGGACAGAGTTTTAGCTGATCAAAACCTTCTCAAAGAGATGAAGAAGTTTGTAAGTGAAGAATTTGTCGATTATGAAGAAGATTACAACGAAATCGACTTCGAATTTGACGATGAAGCCGATGTATCTGTTGAAGAGGACACAAATTCGGTTAATCATGAAAATAAACCTGAAATTAAAGAAAATGAAGGAATTAAAGACAAAATTCAACAAGAACCAAAAGTAGACATACAAGATAATGATGGATCTTCTCAAAATGTTCAAAATTTCCAAAGAAATAATTTTGATAATCCGAAATTTGACGAAAATACTAATGATCAGCAAACTTCAAAGGCCGAATCCAAAGATACCACCAATGATAAAGGAAGTATGCCTAAATTTGATCAAAAAACCAAATCTCCTTCTGAATTTCCAGTTTGGCAACTTGGAAGCGAAGAAGAAGATGAAGAAAAGCAAGAAACAAACCAAGTAGTACCTCATGATGAAGAAGATGACCTATTTAGTTTCCAAGATGACAAATCAAACAAAGAAGAAGAGGATTTGCTCAATTCTGATGCAGACAATTTAGTTGATGATGATCGTATATCTAAAATTGAGCCTTTCAAGTCAATTGACGAAGAATTAAAAGTTCCAAATTTGTCACAACTGAATGAAAGCATCGAAACCAATACCAACACAAGTATGTTTGTTAATTATGCTGATAAGGATGTAAATGTCATCGAAAACAAGCCAAAACTCGTTATTCAACCCGTAGATTACCATGAAAACGAAGTTTCTACTACAACAACAGATGAATGCGTCATAGACAACAGTATTTTCGTTGTAGAAAAAGTTGAAGAAGAATTTAATGAAAATTCAATTTTCAAATTTGGAGAATCAATGACGATTGACATGAAAGATGATTCTAATATTGAATATGATGAAGACTCTGATGAGTTACCAAGCACAGAAATAGTTTCAATCGCTTTCAACAGAGGAAAATTGGAAAATCCGATAAAAACAACAATTTTCTGCTTAATTCATGTAGCTGATAAAATCCTTGATGAACAACTTCAATTAATGTAATAATTATTTTGTTTATATTTATATATTTGTTAGTAAATATTAATCTATCCTGTTATGATTATTATATGAGAAATTTCTAGAAATAGATATTAGTGATAAATGCCTATGAGTTGGAGCAATTTATTGCAACAATAAATTTTAAGTCTGGTTCAGAATTTTATCGCAATTCACCTAAAATGCTTCCACCTCAATTTTAAAAAATTTGATAAGCAAAAAGTCGTCGTAAATATTTGAGAGATGCATTCTTGAAATTAAATAAAATTTAGATACTAATCAAAAATAATAAAGATACCACGGATAAAAAAAGTAATAATACTAGAGCTTATATTAGAATAGAAATCATATGTAAGGTTTTTGGTATAAATGGGTGCAACCCCGACCAAAATAATATAGGTACACGAAAAAGGTGTCGCCACATGAAAAAGGCAGATTATGGTTTTATAAAGCATGATTAAAATAATTAATAATGTAAGTAATCATTTTTAACAAGAAAAGCTCTATATAGTAAAATAAAAAATTAATAGAAATTTTTAGAAAAAAAAATTAAAAATTTTAAAAATATAGTTGAAATTAAGATCATATGTGAAATAGAATAGAAATAAAAAATTTGATTGAATTGATAAGATTTTTAGAAATAATTTGTTAATATAATAAATTACGTGAATTATTAATAAGTCTTCATTCTTCAATTCTTCTTCCTTTCTTGCTTCCTTTTTTCCTTCCTTTCTCCTTACATTCTTCGGTCATTTTGCCTAGCATCTTCCCATATTCTCTTACAGCTTCCCCTTCCGCGTCCTCTTGACAATCCACGTCCTCTCGCTGCGCTCTCCTTGAGCCTCTTCCTGTTTTTCTAGACTCATGTTCATCAGGTAAATAAAAATTTAGACGATTTTCTTCACTTACGAATTTCGTCATTCCTTAGTTTCTTTCAGGTCTCCAATTTTCAATCTCTTCGTTGAAAGTTTGTGCACCTCAGTAGCAAGATTCATGTCTATCCACGCAAATGATTCGTGCAATTCAGGTTTGTGGATCCACTCGATTCCAGCCCTGCAAAAGGCATGAATGATGTTAGTAGGTGTGGCAGCACTAAAGAATGCATCAACATAGGAAAGATGCCAAAAAGTCCGAAAAAATTAAAATCTGACAGCGAATTGGTCCGAAATTTTGTTGATATTTTACTTTATCTCAATATACCTTCATAAGCTTGGCATTAAATTACTATTGTAAGGCATTATCTGCTTGAGTAGTCACAGTATATTATTGTTGTATGATTATTATCTTTGTATTTGGAATATACACGAATTAATAAAACGTTCTTTGCCGTCTACCCACTTAATGTCAAAAGTTAGTTTTTTGATTTTAAAAAGCAGGGTTTTCATCTTGTGGAATCCAAGCGAAGCGCAGGATTCCACAAGATGAAAAGCCTGCAATATAATTATGATGCTTTTATTAACTTGTTATAAAGGATTGTTCCAATTTAAAAACTCTTGATTTTTTTTCGGACCAATTCGCTGTCAAATTTTAATTTTTTCGGACGATTTCGCAGATCCCCCATCAACATATATTATTATTTGTCGGCTTTGTTCGTTCGAAATTACAGGATCTATTCGAATTCTTGTTGTTTGCGTTTTGTAAGAGTTGAAAATGCCTAAATCTAACGTTTGCGTTTGATCTGACGATAGGGGGACTAAAAAATTACTTTGATATTATGCAACTCCGATTTAGACTAAGTTTCAATGTGAATGGACAAATGCAGTACAACATTATAACCAAAAATATTCATATACTTTCGCATTCAACTAAGGTGGCAGACATGGAAAAAAGAGCCTCTCCAATTCGTGCAATATAAGCAAAATTATCAATTTTTCGCAATGAATGTAAAAGCATATACTCATCCATTATCATTATATTAAGGTGGCCCCAATGAATTTTGATGCCATCTGAAAAAAAACAAGTTTCAAGCAAGGTAAATCGAAAATTTACAAAAGGCTACATGCAAAAGTCTCTTGGCTTTTGTTTTTGAGTGCGACTGCCAAAATGTTTTGGTAGTCCCATTCAAAAACAAAAGCCAAGAGACTTTTGCATGTATTAATATGACAAGCCTTCACAAGCAAGGCTTGCCATATTAAAATTTACGAAAAATTTCTTACATTAAATTTAGAGCTCATATTATTAAACACAACAATTCACGCATAACTACACACATATTCATCACATATGCTATGCATTAATATTTTATAACTCATACGCTCAAAAACCTTATACTTGTCGAAGACTGAATCTGATTGAACTACTCATATGCTCATATAGACTCAACACATATAGAATATATAATAGCTTCCTATATAGAATATGCGCCGCTTATAAAAATATATCATTCCCCTATATTGATACAAATTATTCACAATACAAGTTCGTCAAAGTGTGCTTTTTCATATTCTCTCATGTATATGTGATCTATAAGGTATATATTTTATGCTCATATAGTTTTTAAAGGTATAAAATGATTTTTTGGTTTTCGATGTCGTGAATAATCTGAGTTCAAAAAATAGATTTCCCTCATTCATATATAAAAAGATACCTTATATATATGCGCTTCTACTATATTAAACACAAAGACCACAAGCTCCTGTAAAAAAGTGATAAGCAAAAAACGAACCGTCAGGTGGTTTAAGTCACTTCACCTCGTATATAAGGACATGAATTAAGTTCTTGCATAAATAAACCATAGTTTCCATAGCTGTACATTCCTTTGTTGCCTGCTTGACTGCCAAATTTGTTAGATGTACGCAACATCTAATATAAACAGTCTTGAGACCCGGGTAAAGGGCTCCACAGCGTCTCCAATGACAAAGGCCCTTTACCTGAGCTGTTCCCCCATCACTGATGATTGCTCCGACCATCTCTGGATTTCTCGTCCAAGTTTCCAACCATCTGCGAGCCAGGTATCCACGTAATGATGCTTTTCTTTGAGTGAAGGGTTGCTAATCATCGCAAAGAAACCTTTTCTATTTCCATGAGATGCAACATCAATGGATATAGAATAGTATTGCAATCTTTGGATGATTAGCACTACAGATGGTGCGAGAACTTCAGCAAATGTAATAATCCCGTCACGGATTGTTTCATGGGAATAAGTACGTAAGCTTTTCGTGGCACCTATAGTATTTGCTAGTAAATTTAGAATCGTATTGCTTTCTTTTGAAGCAGCCATGTTAATGGACAGATCTGTGTGTACGGGTAAAGCTATTAAACATTGTAAACTCTTGTCTGACTTGACTCTATCCTTTGCCTGATATGGATTTCCTTCGACTTGGATTGCATAATTGTGATGATGGTTGTGATTGAATTGTGTTGGGTGTGCATAATAAATCCAGCGTTCCCATTTTTGAGTAAATGTGTTAAAGTTGTGGTGTAAACAAAAACAATACATCCTTGATTTTTCCTGATTGTTTTTATCAGGTACATATGCAGGTGTAAAAAATATTCTATATCTACGATCATCTATTGTCGTCTTCTCAATTGGGGGAGATGGCGGGATTTTAATTGTTTTATTACGAACATTTATAAGTTATTGATATTTATTTCAAGAATCTCAATAATTTTGTATGGTGGCAATGAAAATTGATAGTGTGTCATTATTAATTGAGAAGATTCAAATGTGTCAGTGATATGACCAAAAATCTCCTCAATTTTGATAATGTAACGAACGGTTAGAGTGACACATATAGCATTTTGTAGAAATAAAAATATAGATACCTAATGAATTATCTTAAATATTTGTCGATAAATTTTGTTCAAATTCTATTGAAAAAAATTTGATTTTTCAACAAAATTAAATCCATTTCAAAAATTTCCAATTATAGAAACATAGTTGACACATTGATCATCTCAATCTCCACATTATCGTCCCAAAGACGACAAGCATATTTTGGAATACAAGACGGTTATACCAACACAAATAATATGAAGACATTAAATGAAGCGAACCATACTCACACAGTAGCTGGAATCACAGATGCATCAGGTTCAGGTCAAGATTTTTTAGCACCATATATGTTTGTGTTAGCTTGGTTCAGATTTGCTTAAATAATATGTATTATCATATATTTTTATCATATGTGTTATATGTGGTTTACGTGGCAAAAAATCTCACACGTAAAGTTTACATTTTTCTAATGAACTCCAAATCAACTTCTGCTAAGGCTCTTGCCATCACGAAGCCAGAGGTGACTGAAGAGAAGTCCTCTAGCGACGAGACAATCCTCATGAGTGCCGAGAGCCTGAGGACCTATATCAAGATCGGGGATCTTGATCACAAGCAAACTGCTAAGAAGACAGGACCGCAAACTATTCCTCGGGAGCTACGTTTAATCAAGACCAGTGTTCCGTACCGAAAAGAGGAATAAGGAAAATTGACAAAAAGTGACACAAAACCTGAAATTTGGCGCCAATTTTAAATACTATATATTATGTTTTTTGGTGAAAAAAGTATTGCTGTAAAGTGGTGTTTAAAATTAAAAATATATTGATGGTAAAAAGTTTAAAAATAATAATAATAATTATACCATACCGAAAAGGGTCGCTAGAAAAAGTGACTTTTGGCGCCAAAATTATTTTTTAAAAAAAAAACTTATTTTTATTATTTAATCAATATTGTTGCATGCTAAGTTCGGTCAACGATAGAAATGTTGTGGGATTTTTAATATTATATATTATTTTATAATAAAATTTTTTTGAGTCATTTTAAGAAGCACATATAATTTTTTGAATTTAAAAATTAAAGTAGTGTCAAACGAATTTATCACTTAATTTAATACTCAGATTTCTTAAAATTAATGAAAAAAAGGTTTTCTGAGAACTTTTGAGAATGGTTTTCAAATTCCATTATTGAAAATATATAGGTATTGTATGAAATTCAAACTCTATATTTATTAAAATTCTAAATTTTTAATAAAATAACTTTTCAGAGGAATATGATTTTGAATGGTTGATTAATAAGTATAAAAATGTCTACGATTTTAAGGAGGGAATTGTTCCTTATGAGGTATACATCATAACTATATACCTCATAAGGAACAATTCCCTCTTGATAGCTGGGAAACTTTCTCTGAATAACTTATCATATGGAGAAAGTTTCCCAGCTATCTATTAGAAACTAAAGGCTGTGAGGCACTAATATATAATCAGTGCCTCATAGCCTTTAGTTTCTTATTAAAAACGAGAAAACTTGTTCGAAATGATAAACAATTTCGAACAAGTTTTCTCGTTTTAAGGAGGGAATTGTTCCTTATGAGGTATACATCATAACTATATACCTCATAAGGAACAATTCCCTCTTGATATCCTGGGTATTTTTGAATATATTTTTTTAATTAAAGTTCTCAAAATTATTATCAAAAGTGATTTTTTAAAAATATCTCCAATTAATTAACTAATTAAAAGTATTATATTTTTAAAATTAAATAGTTTTTCAATTTTTTTTGAAGGAATTGAGATACTTCCCACGACAATAAAATTGAGAGGTTTACATTATGACTGATCTTAGCAGGCAACAATATTACACTATTACATATTATTTTTTTATATCAAATCCATACTATTTTTCAGAATGGAAGTTTTTGTAAACTTTTACAAAAATCAAATGGATCCATATCACTGGCATCGTACCTCCAGAAAATTAGTTGACATCGAATGGCTAAAGGAATCGGTTCAACAAATTAACTCTGGAATAAAGCTAAAGGATATTTGCAAAAAGGCCCGTTTAAATAATGGTACCTTTCGTGAAATATCCAAAACCATGTTCAAAAAGCTTGTCAGAGAAAATAATTTGGAATTAATTCCAAAAAGAGGAAGAAAGCAAATAGAAATTAATCTTGATGCCTGCCAAGCTTATGCAAATTTGAAAGATTTAATGCCCGATGCAGGCATCAATAAAATTATTCAGAAAATGAAAACAGACCTTGTCAATATTGAGAAGAATCCAGAAGAATTTCAAAAAATTCAATCAGAAATTCAAAAAAATGGAGAAATAAATTATGAGTCTGGAAACTGGCTCGATGAAGTTGACCGCACAACTTTAGTTCCAGTTGTGACTCCAATAGAAGGTACGCCTATTGAAATAAATCCATTACGCGAATCTCTTCAAACGGCAACATACATTACAAAAAATTTTGATTCTCCCTCATATAGAATGGGCAGGAAAATACACGAAGCGATTATCGCAGATACTCCCCCTCAAAATCAAGAAAATCAGCAAAAATAAATTCCTCGAAATTATCTAGCATCCAAATGTCATCAAATTTGGCATGCTGATATCCACTATTGGAGGAAACGAATAGGCAAATATTTGTTTGCGATAATAGACGACAGATCGCGAAAAATCATAGATTTTAATTTATTTACCGAAAAAACAGCTCAAAATACAACTGCAGTTCTTAAAAGAGCATTAAGTACTCTACCTCAACCACCATACGCTATTTGGACCGATAACTGCCTTGAAAATAAAAGCTCATTTCATCAACTTTTGGTTGAACGTGGAATTGAGCATATTTTCATTCAACCGGGCAATCCACAGGCAAATGGTAAGATTGAGAGATGGTGGCCATACGTGGAAAGAAACTGCAAGTCAGAATCAGATCTTCCACGGGTCATCAGATTTTACAATAATATGCCCCATTCTTCTTTGCCTGCGAATCCTGAAACGAACGTTTACTTTACGCCGAATGAATTCGAGGCCAGTGAAATTGATGATCACTGGTATCGAAATCCAGAACAAGAACCATTCTGGATAGTCGACGGTCAATTAAAAAACCTTAAGGAAAGCATTGACGAGTTCAGAAAATGAAAATCTCGAGCAAGTTCAATAAATTTTCAACAAATTCTCAAATCATTACGAATAAACACTTAATATTATCGTATTTACATCTTTTTAATACAACTATTTACTTACTGATGATTCATTTCAAATCGTAGATTTGGATGATAAGTTATATAAGAAAAGTTTCCGAGCTTACCGCTTAAAACAATAGCCTACATCATATCTACGAATACCTCGGTACTCCGAGGCTACAGTTTTGCGCAGAAAGTTCAAAAAGTGATTTCAAATGCTAAGTTATCTAACAAAAGTTTCCGAGCTTACCGCTTAAAACAATAGCCTACATCATATCTACGAATACCTCGGTACTCCGAGGCTACAGTTTTGCGCAGAAAGTTCAAAAAGTGATTTCAAATGCTAAGTTATCTAACAAAAGTTTCCGAGCTTACCGTTTAAAACAATAGCCTACATCATATCTACGAATACCTCGTTACTCCGAGGTTCAGGTTAGTAAAAATCAATCTAAAAATATTTTTTATGTACGTTAATGTAATCTGAGAGTGAGAGGCATATAGGCATACTATATACCTCTCACCCTTCAATTCCTATGAAAACAGTTCTAAAATAAAAATAAAAAACAAACTTAAATTAACTATTAAATTTTTTATATTTTAATTTCATATTTTTAATAAAATTCCTTATATATTATAATTATTATATTAAAAACCCTTTCGAATTTTGGCGCGAAAAATAAGAGTATGTGTCACTTTTTGTCACTTTTCTAGTGACCCTTTTCGGTACGGAACAAATAATAATAATAATAATAATAATAATAATAATAATAATAATAATATAATAATAATAATAATAATAATAATAATAATAATAATAATAATAATAATAATAATATAATAATAATAATAATAATAATAATAATAATAATAATAATAATAATAATAATAATAATAATAATAATAATAATAATAATAATAATAATAATAATAATAATAATAATAATATAATAATAATAATAATAATAATAATAATAATAATAATAATAATAATAATAATAATAATAATAAAAATAATAATAATAATAATAATAATAATAATAATAATAATAATATAATAATAATAATAATAATAATAATAATAATAATAATATAATAATAATAATAATAATAATAATAATAATATAATAATAATAATAATAATAATAATAATAATAATAATAATAATAATAATAATAATAATAATAATAATAATAATAATAATAATAATAATAATAATAATAATAATAATAATAATAATAATAATAATAATAATAATAATAATAATAATAATAATAATAATAATAATAATAATAATAATAATAATAATAATAATAATAATAATAATAATAATAATAATAATAATAATAATAATAATAATAATAATAAGAGAAAGGGACAGACTAGCCCATTGTCACTTTTTAATTTAGCAAATGAACGCTTATGGAGTGGAGTTTTTGGGTAAATCTGATTTGCTTATAAATGAAATAAAATCAAAAGAAACCATATTGGCATTATATTATGCAAAAATAAATGATCTTACTTAGTACTTTTAAAGTTAATTTCAGAAAAAATTTGACACAATGGTATCCGGCACATACAAGTGGTGTACAACCAAAATATAAGTTAGTTTAAACATATATTGCTATATCTCATGATCTTACTTAGTACTTTTAAAGTTAATTTCAGAAAAAATTTGACACAATGGTATCCGGCACATACAAGTGGTGTACAACCAAATCTTCGACTCGATGAACTTGTCATCGAGTTATATTCCAGTGTTGTTCCTTCATTCCTGATTAAGTTGCAAATTAAAGGTCTGGATTCAGAGAGAAGTGTTAAAGTTATCAAAAAAGTCACAAGAGATTTCGAAGAAATGACACAATTTAAAAAAAGTCGAATGCATCAGTATGCTTGAAGCTGTTCAGAAAGGTCTGAAAAATGATACACTTGATCCCAACATTGTTTACTCAACATTAAAAATATTATTGCAAAGAAAACATTTGATTTAATAAACATTTAATTTATTATAATTAATTTTTTATTACAGTATAGTAAAAAATGCTATAAATAAATTATTATATTTTATTAAAATGTGACTTTTAATAGTAAGTGAATAAAATAAATCAGGAATTGGGAAAGAAATAAGGTTAATTAAAAATAATGAAAATTACAAGTTTAAGGTTAATGAAAAAGTGACAATGGGCGAGTTTGTCCCCCACTCTAATAATAATAATAATAATAATAATAATAATAATAATAATAATAATAATAATAATAATAATAATAATAATAATAATAATAATAATAATAATAATAATAATAATAATAATAATAATAATAATAATAATAATAATAATAATAATAATAATAATAATAATAATAATAATAATAATAATAATAATAATAATAATAATAATAATAATATAATAATAATAATAATAATAATAATAATAATATAATAATAATAATAATAATAATAATAATAATAATAATAATAATAATAATAATAATAATAATAATAATAATAATAATAATAATAATAATAATAATAATAATAATAATAATAATAATAATAATAAAAGATTTTATGATTGGTAATTGGAGGGTATGAGTACTATTGCACGTAATAGTATCTCACACTCTCCAATTCATCCTATGACGCCGAAAAATTTTTGGTGAAATCCGACGACATTTCACCAAAAATTTTCGGCGCCATATAGAGAACTATAGTCTGCGAGGTACTGATTCTATCTATGTACCTCGCAGACCATAGTTCTCAGCCAAAAATTTGAATCTTAACTGATAAATTTCAAAAATTTACATTTAATTTTATTCAAATTTTTGTTGAACATTTAAATTTTTAATTTTAAATTAATTAATTTATTTTACAAAACATTACGAATAATCCATATTCATAAAATTTCAATTGAGAAAAATTGAAATAACTGTTTAGAAAATGTATAAAAGTTTTTAGACAATTAAAAATAAATGTTGTTTAAAAAATTAATAAATAAGCGTATTTTTATTTTAAGAGTTTGTACATTTTGAAAAAAATTGAGAACTTGTAAGGATATTCTGGCGATTACTTTTGTATGACTATTAAATATGAAATACGATAAAGATTTTTGAAACTTCTGATATTGTGTACATTTTATTAGACATAAGTTTAGAACTTGTAATTCTCGAACAAAATAATGTAAGTCTATATGAAAATAAAATGTTTACTTATTGTATCTTTTCTTGTTCGTTTAGATGTTCGACATAATTTTTTTATATTGATAAATTATTCGTAAAATTCTCAATACTCTCAAGCAAACTTCTTGTTTCACCTTCTACTAGCCAATGTGGCTCCTGATTTGGATCTAAGTACCTGTGGGAATTCTTTTCAAATTCCTCGAAGTCATTTCGAGTTAAATGAGTACCGGTTTTTGTATTAATCGGTAAAGCCGAATGTGGCATGTTATTGTAGTAGGAAATAACTCGAGGAAGATCTTCAATATTTTTGCAATTTTTCTCAACCATGGGCCATCAGCGCTCTATTTTGCCGTTTGCCCTAGGATTACCTGGTTGAATCCAAATATGTACTATATTTTGTTCAACCAGGTATGAATGGAACACAGATTTATTTTCTGTGCCATTATCAGTCCATATGGCAAACGGCTTGCCAGGAATTGTAGATAATGCACGTTTTAATACGATAAGTGTATTTGAAGCCATTTTTTGATTGAAAAGCTGAAAGTCAATTATCTTTCTTGACCTGTCGTCAATTATGGCGAACAGGTAATCTCCGATTTTTTTCCCTCCAATAATGAATCTCTGCATGCCAGATTTCATGGCACTGGAATGCAAGATAATTTCTTGGAATGTAATTTGGTTCCTCATTTTCTGGTGGAAACGGTTTTTCTGTAAATAATGCTTCATGTATTTTCCTTCCCATTCGATAGGAAGGCGTTTAAAATGCTTTTCAATGTAACTCGCAGTTTTCATAAATTCAGAGACCGAATTAATTGGTAGAGGAGTTCCAGTAGCCTCTGGAACTTGCTCAACAAATGTTGAACGCTGTTCTTCGTTGAGCCAATTTCCAGAATCGAATTGGACTTCACCATTTTTTTCCAATTCTGACCTCATATTTTGGAATTCAATTGGATTTTCAGATATTTTGACTAAGTCTGTTCTCATTTTTTGTATGATTTTGTTTATTCCTGCTTCCGGCATATGGTCTTTTAAATTTGAAAAGGCTTGAGCGACATCCAAATCTACTTCTATAAGAGGTCTACTTCTTTTTGGACATAATTCCAAATGGTGTATTTTTGAAGCCTTTTTAATTGTTTTTACAGAAACTGGAATAATTTGTTCATTATCTAGTTGAGCTTTGGAAACATATTCCTCGAGAGTTGATCCGGAATTAATATTTTTAACAGCTTCTTTAAGTCATCGTAGGCTTATTTTTTCAGGAGGAGTCCTATATCTACGTTTTGGTTCCATTTTATTTTAAAAATGTAAAGTTTTGAAAAATTGAATCACTGTGTTTATTATAAATATAAATTAATTTATGAGAATTTGTATTATCATCAAAATTATACTTCATAGATATATTTTTTTTGATAAAATAAGTTGAATATTTAAGAATAGTAAAAATTGGCGCCAAATATCACTTTTGCTTATTCCTATTTTCGGTATGAGATACCAGTCACAAATATTTTATAAAGAGTTGATGAATAATTACTTTATATCATGGAATATTAACATTATTTTTTGTTAATATTAAGCTTTCAAAAACTTAATTAAACTAAAAAATTAATATATATTATTGGATAAATATTAATTAGAACAAATGATCTTTGTATTAATGCTAGACAAAAACAAATATAATGATCTGTTTATATTTTAATGATAGATATACCATACTATTTCCATTACTATAATTAACTTAAAGAAATATATCTTATAAATATATTTTTTGTTCAATTTTGGTTGAAAAAAAAATTGAAATTTTTACAAAAAATTTAAAACGCATTTCTTATCTTGTTTAGCTTTGATAAGTTGGATTAAATAATATTACTAAATACAAATCATGATAACAATTATATATCCATGCTAAATGCCTGAAGATCTGGTGAAAATATTGAGATATGCCTCACTTCTACCATTTCGTCTTACCACAATTCTTAAGCTTATTCTTCGTCTTAAAGTGGAATCTGGATGTCATTTTGTTCCATATAGTCCAGCATATTTAAATGCTGGACATAAATGTCGGAAGCTAACGACCGGAGTCGCTCGTTCTCCCGGTCTTTACAATCAGTAGCGAACTGAAGATCCTCGATCTTGGTCTCGAAATCGCGGATCCTGCCCTGAATGAATTCCATCTCCTTCAGGGCGTTACCGCTCTTTGTATTACGCCAAACTGCAAACATCGTACGTCTTTGAGCGATATTATTCACGACGCTTGCTTCAGCGTTCATTAAATAACTGCTGGACCAACGATTATTTTGGTTTCAAACTAAACTATATAATAAATGTGTTGTGCATGAAAATTCGGTTCACTTCACTTCTGACAAAAAGTGACAAGTTTGCATGACAAAAATAGTTTACATGGCAAAAATATATAGGGTATTTTTTTAAAAAGTAGTTATCTTTATATATAAAAATAAAACTTTTGATATATTTGAGTAAATGATTTATTAATTTAGTTATTTATTTTTTTTAAATCAAATCATATAAATATATATATATATAATAGTGAAATAGAACATGAGATAATTATTGATGATTAAATTGTAGACGAGGATAAAAGGCCAAACCCAAATTTTAGCTAAAAGTAACAGGGAAAAAAAACGTTTAGTATTAAAAAAAAGACCGATGAGAGTTTCGTTCGAAATATAGAGGGAACTGAGAATGCGCAACCATTCTCAGGGAATATTGGATGCTATTCCCGTTCCCTCTGTATGGAAAATTGAGGTTTTCAAAGGGAGTTAAAATAATATCAAATTTATACTAATTTACTTCAAAATACAAAAGTATTTGACAGCTAAAATTAGTTAATTTAGCAAGCCTATCAATACCCTTTTACGATTATTGCTACTTTTTCGAAATAAAATAAATTTATTATCAAAAACCTTTTTTTTCTTAGTAAAAATAAAAATGTTATTTTATATCAAGTTTTTATTCATAAATTTTTATAATGTTGTATAAATTTGAAGATGGAAATCTGTAATAATTTTATCTTGAAAAGACTTGGCATTCTCAACAATGAATTGAGGGGTATTGCATCCAAATTCTGTAATTTGCGTGAGAATACTAAGCTTGATTTCCATTGGGATACTTAATTTCGAAAAATACTGGGTCATTCGTTTTTGAACCTTTGCTGCCTTGACAACTTTATCAAGTAGGTCATCTAAACCCAATTGAAGCGTATTTAAGTTTGCTGATGAGTTAACTATTAACGATTTAATTTTATCAGTGAGCATTATACATTTTTCTGTATCCAGTCTGATTGTAGACTTTTTTGGCTTTTTTTCAGATGGCAACGGATTTGGAATTTTGTCTCTGAGCCTTATATCTTGAGAAATTCTGTAATAAAATGAAGGAACGATAAAATCGATTAATTTCATCACAAATCGATCAAATCTCATGAAAATTGTTCCGCCAAAGTAGTAATATTTAATTTTTTTGTTAATCGATTCTGAAATGTTATTTGTGAGAGCTAAATTTTCATCTCTTTCAGCGGCTGTCCATCTTTCTTGGTTTGATATCCATTGATTTTGTATGTATTTTGAAAATTCTGGGAATTTTTCGGCTATTTCCAGAATTTTTTTGAACGTTGGTTCAATCCATTCTTTCTTGCCATTTCTGCCGTATGCAAGATAGTTCATTTTTGTATCTAATATCAATTTGTCTGAACTCTCAAATGCATAATCTTTCAAAAATTTTTTGAACGCCCTCAATACATGAACTGCACACCAATGAAGGATAACTTCTGGAAAAGAGTTGATAATCGCATTTTCGATTTCTTGTGCACAATCTGACATAAAATATTTTGGTTTTACTTTTGCCCAGTTAAAAAATGCCTTGAGACAGAATGCAATATTTTCTGAAGTGTTTGGATAAACGACAAATTGAAAAATTGGGAATGCATGTGTATTTGGAAATTTGGCTGATATCATGTAAAACAACATTTTAAATTCAATTAATGAATGGGTTGCATCAATAAAATGCTCTTTCACAATTTTGATTATGTCCAGAAATTTGAAAGAAGCATAATAAAAGATTAATTTCTTTGGTTTGTTGTAATTATCGACATCGAAATAAATTAAATCTTTTGGTGACTCTTGTTCTTTGATACCCTTAAATAATTGAGTTGACTTGAATTGATTATCATCGTACTTTTGAATACCTTTGATCTTTTTATTTCCTTTTTCCTGAATTGTTTTCATTTGATCTGAAGATGCATTCAAAAAAGATGGCCTGTTAAGTGGATCATCCAGATCAAGTTTTTTGTCGCATTCAATTTGAGCCATTTTCGGATCACCCCCCTGTTTTATAAAATTAATAAGTACCCGACGATAGCATTGTGATAATGTGTGGTATTTCTTTGTCTCATCTTTGATTTTGTTTCGTACCGAAATGGCTAACAAAAAAAGTGACAGAAAACCTTAAATTGCGCGGCAATTTTAATTAAAAAAATAAATATTAATTTTTGTGATTGATATTATGCATTTTATTTATATTATATAAGATTTAAATTTAGGGGAAAATTGGAAAAAAAATAAGATTGGAAGTCTTTAGGTAAGAAGGAAAGGGCAAGAGATATATAGTGTACCTATATAACTCTTGCCCTTTCATTCTAAGTAGAAATGGGAGAAACTTTGTCCGCATCATAAGTTATGCGGACAAAGTTTCTCCGATTTCTAATGGGAATTGCAGGCTATGAGGCACTGATATATAATCAGTACCTCATAGCCTACAATTCCCCTTATTAGACTTCCAAACTTTGAGTTAATGTTAAGACATTAACTCAAAGTTTGGAAAACTTCTCGTAAGAATCAATCGTCAAAAACCTCGATTGCAGTTATATTCATTGTGTTAAATTTGATTTATTTTGAAATTTTTATAAATTAAATTTTATATAACATAAAGCGTTATGAATTAGTATTTCCATATGAATTTTATCTCGAAAAATAGTAATTCTGTCCAGTTATATTTCGGTTAATTTTGGAAATTTCTAGGAATACTTTAAGATAGTATGATTATATATAACTCTGCCTTCATGATTTATTTTAGCTTTCGCGCAAATATCAGTTAACTTAACTCCATTATTTGATTTTGTGATGGCTTCACAAAGCCAATCAATATCAATCTCTTCTGGAGAATGTCTTCTCATCTAGAATATTTTCAATACTTTACATACAAACATTTTTATTTCTAAAAAACTTTTTAATTTTTTCTAGGATATATGAATGAAAATAGTTAGAACAAGATTTTGAAGCTCAAAACATTAAAAATTATTAAAGATTTGTATAATATGATTAAAAATGGGAAATAATATGAGGCAATATAAAGGAATATGAATATTAAATAAATATATCTAAATAGAAAGAATCAGAAAAATCAAATTATTGGCGCCAAAAATGTCACCTTTTTGGTGAGCCATTTCGGTATGAGATAGTCTCATCTTTGATTTGATTGTGATTATGTGTTCCATTATATTCTGTTAGGATATATTCTTCATCATCCTTTAGAAATGAGATACATGCTTCACATTTATCTGCACTGCACCTGAATTTTAATTTTGTTCCCCCTAAATTTGGATTTTTTTTAATTGATATGCACAACCTGCATGGCATTCGTTATCAATGACAGCTTTCATAGCATCTATATAAGATAGCCTTTCTTTAAGTTCGCATGGTGCATCGATATGCATCAAAAAAATGAAATGAAATTTCAATATCAAAAAAAGCACAAAATTTGAAAAAATTCACAAATCTCGGTTTCTGAAAGAAAATGGCCTCTTAAACTTTGTGCATATATTCATCTCTAAGACACATTGTATCCATATATTATTTAGTCAACACAACTTATCTGGTATCGAGAAAATTCAAAAAAAGCACAAAATTTGATAATTGCTCGGTTCTACATTCAAAATAAATTTCATTAATTTTTACGTACATATTAAGGTACTTATCTTCTACATATATAATCTTCATTAGATATATACATGATAAATAAAATTCATAAAACATTAAAAATCAAAAAATTAGATGAACCTTGGCAATTAAACTTTATTAAATAATAGTTGTTTATAAATTATATTATATTATCATTTAATATTATTTTGATAATGAAGATTTTATTTTGCAATAATATAAACGAAATTTTTTACCTTATGAACTTTTGATGGAAATATGCAAATTTAAAATAATAAAGAAAGCCACGAGCGAAGCGATCGGCTTAGGTCTAAGATTTTGATTCAAATCTTTGCTGATCTGTAATTCGCGGAAGCCGCGAGCGAAGCGATCGGCTTAGGTCTAAGATTTTGATTCAAATCTTTGCTTATAGTCCTTAAATTCTTTATGAAACTCGCAACAGTTCCATAAAAAATTTTAAATTCTAAACTGTCGAAATTACCGATCGGTAATCACACCCTTCACGGGTGTGTCACTTTTTACAGGTGTGTCACTTTTAGCTAAAATTACCCCTACTCCAATGCGTACTGCCGTGTGGAGGAATACAAGGACCTCTAATGCCCTGAAGGAAATGAAATTCCTTCAGGGCAAATTCCGCGATCTGGAATCCAAGATCGGGGATCTTCAATCATCCAACAAAGACCGGGAAAACGACTACTCCGATCCATAGTTTCTGATATTACGATCCCGCTCAAGGATGACGGAAATGGCAATGATTTTTCCATTAAAATCATCCACTATCCATTAACTAGAAGTTATTTTGGAAATATCTTCTTCAGATGGATTATCAAAATTTTCTAGAAGCTGTATCGTTATTTGATGTTCTTCCTCTGAAGTAGTGCACGGCGGTATGTCATATTGAGATTTGGAGATAATGCACAATATCTCAATGAAGTCTCAGAGTGGACGTTCACTGAAAATTGCCTGATAAAATGATTATCATGAAATTTTTTGACCATGTCATAATATAATATATGAACTGTTTGGTGCAGAAATGGCTTATAAAACAGTGGAAGAAAAATGACACACCCTTAAATTGTGCGGCAATTTTGATTTTGTTAAGCGTGCTGACTTGACAATTTAAAAAATCTTTTTCGTGATTCATATTTAATTCTCGAATAAATACAGATTCCAGAATATCTTCACATGTTCTCAACTTATCCTCAATTTTGACCGAACCTGAAAAGATTTTCAAAATACAATCATTCATTTTTTCAAATATTTTTATATATTGAGAATAAAATATAAATTTGTTGAAATAAAATATCTTTTTAATAAATTGAAAATAATCAAAACAGTTTCGAGGTCATAGGATGAATTGGAAGATGAGAGATATTGTTTCATACAATAACACTCTCACCCTCCAATTCTCAACCAAAATGGATAAAAATTGGGTAAAAATGTTGAAATTGCATCAAATTTTAGTCATTTCAGCTTGGAACTAGAGTCTATGATGTATATAGATAGAATCAGTACCTCACAGACTCTGGTTCTCTATATGACACCGAAAAATGAATTGTGTATATCTTGGAGATTTCGAAAAAAATCTTAGACTTTTTACATAAAACACATACAGTACAAATATACTCATGAATTAAAATATATCCATACTGTCAAATCAAATCTGGCACACTTCTTTAAGACATCGAAATTATTTTTCCTAAAAAACACTTTCAACACAATAGAAATTCTAATAGGCATATTCCAAATACATTATATATACATATACAAACTAATAACACACCTAATATTGCTCACACATAAGATATATTTTGTGTCTTGTTATATCATTGATATATATAATTAGTATTTATAGGTTATAATCATATCAACAAAACATATTGTTATCGCTAATAGCAAATTTAATACAATAATAAATATGGTTTAAAAATTAAATTTCCAAATTGAATAGCTATATTAATTACCGTCTAGATACCCTATCATGATGTACAACTTATTCGTTCGGAAACATCTTTGATCTCCGTATGGGCTTCTCAATTTGAGGGCCCACTTGATTTTATCCCAATTCTATCATTTATCAAAGATGTTGTTCAAAATAAAATTCAAATCAGCTCCACAAAGATCTCCAAGCAAATACAAGCAGACGACAGAAATATCCGAAATTGGCTCAAAAAAATCAAAGAGAGTTCAGAATACAATCCAAAATATGCTAAATCAAACTTCAAAAAAAGCTTTAAAAGCAGAATTAGAAGAAATCATTGTAACCATATTGGATAACGGGTTTATTACTCCTGTTTTTTTATTAATTCTCACATTTTACAAAACATTGAAATGCATGCATCTTTCGAATACCCTCATCTTCAATACGGATGATTTTTTTTGCGTCATCAGCATGGTGTTACAAATTTAGGCAGCGCTATATGTATGTTTTCAAAAAATATTATCTTATGAAAGAGGTGCTGACAACTCCAACAAAACTCGAAGAAATCAACAGGAAAGATGCCAATAAGTCAGAAAAATTAAAATCTGACAGCGAATTTTTTTCGTCTACTAAATGTTGAATGGTCAGCGACCAGATGAAAAAATTCAATAAATTATTATGATGTGCAAATTCCGCATATATACCTTTTATTTTTGAATTTAGGTGAAGTTTTGCCTTTCGATGCGAATGTATGAGACACTTTTCCCATTCTGCACATATATATGCAGAATGGGAAAAACGTGCACTTTTTCTTTAAAATGCTATCCATTGGATATCAATTCAAGAAAGTAGTTTACAAATGCAGGGTATTGTTCCTTTACCCTTTCTTGACAAACTCTTTTTGAATCGAATATAAATTTCAAATTCCTTTTAAATCTCCTCAAATATACTATATCTATCTTATAAATAATCATACTCTATCTATCCGAATGAAATCCATAAGCTCTGGCCTCAGGAAAGGCCAGTGCCTACAAATGTAATCCTCAGGGCCGAATTTTGACCTCATCACAAGCATGATGCAGGTTCTCATCAAAACTCGGCCCTGAAAGACCTACAACTACAGGCTCTGGCCTCAGCAGAGATCAGAGCTTCGCATATAGTCCTCAGAGTCGAGTTTCCTGAGATTGTCCAGATCACGGACACTTCTCAGCGGAACTCGGCGCTGAGAAGCATCAAATACGAAGCTCTAGTCTCTTTTGGGGCCAGAGCCTGCAAGATCAATCCTCAGGGCCGAGTTTTGAGATGATCGTCGATCATAAGGACGGTCTCACAAGAACTCGGCCCTAAAAGTTTTACAAATTCAGGCTCTGACCTCATAAGAGATCAGGGCCTCGCTTACAATCTCTACTGCCGAGTCTCAGGAAACCGTCTATATTTGAGACACCTTTCCCCGAGACTCGGCTTCCATATTAAGATTACAGCCCCATAAAGACTAGAATGGGGCCCTGACCTTGAGAAAGGACCCCATTACCGATTATTCTGGTTTTCATTATCGATGATTTTAACTCATTTTTGATTTTCTACCAATATTATTTAAATACGCACATAGTTAATAGTTATCTGGACTTGTTACCACTGTTTGAAAAACACACTTTTTATAATTTTGAAATTCATTTCAAACTCAAGATTTTGGACTGAACTTAAACACATTCACCATTGCATTTCATCCTATTAATATATTTCGAAACTGAAATATCACAGAATTTTCCTAGTTCATAAAATATAAGATTTTATAGTCTTCACATCATCCTTAATTTCTTGAATAGAATAACCTATAACATGAGTATTGATATTCACTCATACATATATGGGGTGTAACTATGCTACATCAAAAAGTCTGAATCGTGGGGTCCCAATTTTTTCCCACGGTTCATATCATATCACGAAAACGCAAAGTCAAAAAAATTCGAAAAGGATTTTAATCAAACCACCGATACTATACGATTGGATGAGGAAGCGTCATGCAAAACCAAATTATTCACCAAAAACTGCACGCTCGAGACTTAATTGTGAATTATATTTTGAATTGTAATATGCTCTTCCAATCATTATTTCAAAGGAATCCATTCAAAAACGACTTTTTTCACTAACAGAATGTTAGTAGATATGGCTATTAGAGTCTATATTTACTTTAGCGATGATAAAAAAATGTGAAAATTTTAAGGCATCTAGAACTTGGTGCACTTATTTTCGAAAAAGATATTCATTTTGTCTTCATACACCAAATACCAAAATAAAACTTGCAAATCAAGAAGATGCTGAGGGGAAAATTAATAAAATTAACCAGTTCAAACAAGAACTTATTGCCAAGCATAAAGAAAAGCCATATTGCCAGTCAATATCGATCAAACCGCATGGTTTATGGGGCCAAATAAAATGTTGACCTTTGCCAAAAAAAGGTAATGCAGAAATCCATTAGCTAATCTTTCAGTTCAAATCTGCAAGGTATTTCTATATAGGTGTTGCCTATATTATCAAACTGAAATTAAACCTTCCAGGGCTCTCTATAGAATTATTTTGCAAAACGTTCTGCAATTTTTCGAAGCTCTTGCTCTGACAAAAAGTGACATTTTTGTAACAGTCGATCACAAACTATCTATCACAATACAGATCAAACTGGTAAAACTTCCGTCCTTGAAGTTGAAAACTCCCTTACCATGTATTCTGTATATCAATGGTTTCTCCCTTAGGTTATGCAACATGAAGCAAAACTCTTCCAAAATCTTATACCAAGATACTCAATTAATTTCAGAATTCAAGATTGAATTTTTCATAAGAAATTCAAAAACAGATCTAACAGGAAAAGGATGTCCGAACTCACTAACTTATAGTGATTCGCTATATTCGGCATCATAGGACAAATGGAACTCAATTTTTAACATTACTGGGCCAAGATTGAAAAATATTGTAGTTAAAATGCAAAAATCTAAGCTTGTCGTTATAGTGACGATAGTGTGGAGTTCAAAAAGGTCAATGTGTCAGCTATGTGACTTATATATAAATTTTAAAGTAAATTAATTTTTGTGTAAAAATAAGAAATTTTATATAGAATTTGAGTATTTTTAATCGACAGATATTGTCCATTATTCATCAGGCAATATATATTTCATTTTTATGGAATAATATATGTGTCAATCTAACTGTTCGCCACACTATCAAAATTGAGAATATTTTTGGTCATATCACTGACACATCAGAATTCTCTCAATTTGCATTGACATACTATCAAATCTTAATTCCACATCTCAAAAAGATATCTTTTAATTTTTCATATTAATTTATTTTTATGTTGCCTAGTGGATTTCCAGGCAATAGATAACCAACTTAAGCAAATCAGCCCTAAGGCTGACAAGCAAACCTTCTGGAAAGTTGAATAGAATTGATCTTAAGTATAATATTTCATTATACATCAGAACAATTCTGCTCAACTCGACTTGTATACTCAATCGCTGGTCCACAGAGGGCCAATGAACACAATTATAATACAGTCAAACAGAGTTCCGACGAATTACCTCATTGAATCAGAAGTTTCGTCGGAACTCTGTTTGGCTCGACTTAATTACTGAATCACTGGTCCACAAAGGGCCAGTGAACCCTATTAATATAACCCCTACTAATATAACCAAGCAGAGTTTCTATGAAATATCTGATCCAATTCTAATACAGCAAAGCAGAGTTCCTGCGGAAAGTCTGATTCAATCAGACTTTTGGCAGGAACTCTGCTATTCTCGACTTTGTCAAATGAATCTTCTAATTTACAAAAAGTGTCGTAAGACGAAATGTGGAAGTGAAGTGATGTTGAAACTTCAATATTTCCTCGAAATTTCTACAAAAATATATTAGACATAAAGCATATATCTTATTTTATTAAGAATGTTGAATAATTACTTTAGACCATGGAATATTACCATTATTCTTTGTTAAATATTAAGTTTAAAATAAGTTAATTAAATTCATAAATGAATATATATTATTATTGGATAAATATTAATCAGAATAAATGATCTTTTTATTAATGCTAGACCAAAACAAATATATTAGATGCACATGATTAACATCTCTTGGTCTGGTGATGTTTTTAAATTAAAAGATTATTATATACAGTTGAATTTACAAAATTCTTAATTCATAAATGCATGGCACAAGAGAAGTATGATCTGCTTATATGTTAATGATAGATATACCATACTATTTCCATTACTATAAATAACTTAAAGAAATATATCTTCTAAGTGTATTTTTTGTTCAATTTTGTTTGAAAAAAAATTTAAAACGCATTTCTTATCTTGTTTAGCTTTGATAAGTTGGATTAAATAATATTATCCATGCTATATGCCTGAAAATCTGGTGAAAATATTGAGATATGCCTCACTTTCACCAATTCGTCTTACCACACATCAATTTATGTATTATGAATTTGGAGTTGTTCAAAAATAAATTAATATAAAAAATTAAAAGAGAGTATAACATAATGTATATCTTTTTGAGATGTGGAATTAAGATTTGATAGTATGTCAATGCAAATTGAGAGAATTCTGATGTGTCAGTGATATGACCAAAAATATTCTCAATTTTGATAGTGTGGCGAACAGTTAGATTGACACATATATTATTCCATAAAAATGAAATATATATTGCCTGATGAATAATGGACAATATCTGTCGATTAAAAATACTCAAATTCTATATAAAATTTCTTATTTTTACACAAAATCATTCCTGGTTTTTTGTAATATGTCATCCATTGTTTTGTGTGAGGAAGCCATTGATTTCTGATATATTTGTCAAATTGTGGACATGATGAAATTGATTTTATCGGATGTTCCAGAATTTTTAATGAGTCAATGATTTTTTGTAACATAAAAAATTTTATTTCTTATTTACTTCAAGATTTCATCATCGCTGATGAGATATAAATTTTTATTAAATGCACAAATAACATGCATTACGCACCAAAAAATTAATGAATCCAGGAATTCTGTTGTGATTGCATTATAGATTTGTTTTGAACAATTTAAATCTAATTTTTATCAACATAAATTTGTTGTTCTTTAAATCTTGATCTAATGTTTGATAATGTTGAGGTTGAAACAGAATGGTCGATCCCTCTGCTCGATACACAACCTCATGCGATATCCGCTGAGAAACTCAATGAATTGTAAGGTCCAAGCAATGAATAGTTCCCTTGTGACCCATCCCTTGGAATATGAGGTGAAAAATGCTTCACCAGATCTCGAGAATTCCTCGAGTTCTATAGGGAGATTCTTCAAAACAGGTAGCAAAAACAATGTTGGTACTGGAACACCACCCATGCTATGGCATAGCATAGATGATATGTGCAGGTGATCTTGGACTCAATTGGCGAGCAGCTTCTTCACTTTTTCTGGGAAGGCAGTATATCTTGTCTTCAAACATGTGATCATGAACTCGTCCATGTTGAAAATGTGCTAGCGCGTAAACTTATCAAGAAAGCCCTTACTGCTTTGATGGTTAGCAATCACCTCATTCCTGGGGCAGGCAAAGTATCCTTTCGGATCAATATCCCGAACTTTTCTGTAAATAAGCCCATATTTGTCAAGCAATTTGATACCTATGTAAGTGATGGAGGTTCAACCTCATATGATTCCAAACATCTTACTAAATTAGAGCAGTCGCATGCAGCAAGGAATTTTATTTTATTGTGTAGATTGCAAACCACAATTTTTGATCAGGTAAATATTGTACATGAATGCATTTTAGAAGGCTGTCTATTCATTTCCACTAAAGAGATGCATTTTCCATCCAAATAAAACTCAATATTGATCGAAGTGTCGGGTGGTGAATTTCACCTCACATCGTTTTGCTTGGGAAATTGTCCAAATTATGGACGGCTATCACTGAGATTATGGAAAGAAATCTGATTGCAAAGGCCAGAAAGACTAGAAGGGGCCCTGACCTTGAGAAAGGACCCCCTTCCAGGTCACTTCTTTGATACAATTTTATTTATTTAATTCACTTTTGCTTCTCATCACATTGGATATAGATCCACCCTATCTCACCCCACTCAATACCTTAAATACAGTCTTAAATTATATGTTTGCTTTAGATCACAATGTGATTTACAATCAATATCCGAGAAACCAAATCATAGAACCTTCAAAACATGAGTATGCACGAAATATGAACCATACACATAATAAAAACATAATTTTGGTCAACATCAAATAATTACTTTTTCACTTAATAGTAATCATACAGATTGTTGTGGTAAGTCAATTATATTGGAAGAGATAATAGATAAACCTTTTCATTTCAATACACTAGATGAAGCATGCCAGAATCCTATTTCATTTTCAATTGAATTTATAAATGACGTTAGAAATGAATTGAAAAGTTTGAGGTTTAAAAAAGAACCTTTAAAATGTTCCATTAATGCTGAAATCTCTGCTTAATATTTTGGCCGTCCATACAAATACAACTGGTTTACGTCGTGAAGCCACCGTATTTTAAAAATTTGAAAGAGCTTTAGCGTCACTATAGGAAGTAATATAAACTATAGAATTTGTTTTGATTATCAATAGAAAATATAATAAATCATAAATTTAAATAGAATCACAATATGAATATAAATAGAGTCACCGTGGATTTTGGTGTCACTTTTCCAAAAAGTTCGCAATTTTAAAACCAAAATCCACATTACTAAAACTAAAATCCATTTTTTCATGAGTATTTGAGATATTGACCTGTGTGCGGCGTATGATCAGAGCTAGTTAATGTGATGAATAAATATGAGTGGTAATCATAGCTTGAGTTGAATTGAATATATAATTTCATAAATGAGTGTGGTAGAATTTACGAAAAAGTGACACTTAACCTTAAATTTCCAAACACTATTTTTTGATTGTATTTTGTTATTTATATATTTATATATATATGTATATTTATATATATGTATATTTATATATATGTATATATTTATATATGTATATATTTATATATGTATATATTTATATATGTATATATTTATATATGTATATATTTATATATGTATATATTTATATATGTATATATTTATATATGTATATATTTATATATGTATATATTTATATATGTATATATTTATATATGTATATATTTATATATGTATATATTTATATATGTATATATTTATATATGTATATATTTATATATGTATATATGTATATATGTATATATGTATATATGTATATATTTATATATGTATATATTTATATATGTATATATTTATATATGTATATATTTATATATGTATATATTTATATATGTATATATTTATATATGTATATATTTATATATGTATATATTTATATATGTATATATTTATATATGTATATATTTATATATGTATATATTTATATATGTATATATTTATATATGTATATATTTATATATGTATATATTTATATATGTATATATTTATATATGTATATATTTATATATGTATATATTTATATATGTATATATTTATATATGTATATATTTATATATGTATATATTTATATATGTATATATTTATATATGTATATATTTATATATGTATATATTTATATATGTATATATTTATATATGTATATATTTATATATGTATATATTTATATATGTATATATTTATATATGTATATATTTATATATGTATATATTTATATATGTATATATTTATATATGTATATATTTATATATGTATATATTTATATATGAATAAATAATACATCGAACTAGTTTTAGAGTTGATAGTAAGAAGCGAAGAACAGTACCAGTAAGATACAGCAGTAGTAGCTGCTTCATGCTGCATTGAGTATTGTTGAATAATTTGAAGTAGTGGTTTTTGAAATCAGCACCCCTATGAGAGCGCTGGCGACCGAAACACCACTAGTAAGATTGTGTATTAGAAACTGCTTCATGCTGTGTTGAGTAAGCTTCGATGTCTTTGTAGGATAGCTTTCTGAGAGCGAAACAAGATAGTGTTGAAAAAAAATTTGAAAATCTGAGAGACTGTGCAAGAGCCAACGACCAAAACACTACCAGTAAGATACAGCAGTAGTAGCTGCTTCATGCTGCATTGAGTATTGTTGAATAATTTGAAGTCGTGGTTTTTGAAATCAGCACCCCTATGAGAGCGCTGGCGACCGAAACACCACTAGTAAGATTGTGTATTAGAAACTGCTTCATGCTGTGTTGAGTAAGCTTCGATGTCTTTATCAGACCACCTTTAAATTAACCACTCACATTCTCACTGTGGTCCATCTAAAATTTGTAAACTTTATGACATAAAATTATATTATATGCAGGATCCCACCTATTACTTAATCTTTTTGGAATAAATGTTTTATAATATTTATCGATTGATTGTAATTTTTTGTATAAAAAAAGTTTTTTATTTATATTAAAAATATATTCGGTTAATGATATTATCTTATAATTTGTAAATAAATCTAGTAATAAAATAACTTTAATAGTTGGTGTCACTTTTTCGAAAATTCTGGTTTTTTCTGATCAGAGCTAGTTAATGTGATGAATAAATATGAGTGGTAATCATAGCTTGAGTTGAATTGAATATATAATTTCATAAATTATGGTTTTAAATAGATTTGATATGCGTATTAAGTGGTATTTATATGGGACATTTTGGGTTTTAACTTTATAATATCAGAGGTTATAAATTGAGACAAATTAGATGTAATTGTAAATGAATTATTATGTTTAACTGTGTGTATAGTTGAGAATTAATATGTGATAGTTTTGTATTGTGAATATTTATAATGTATAGAGATATTAATGATTTTGAAAAAAATAAAAACATATAATATGTGAAAAATGGGTAAATTGAGTAAATTGACATATATCTAAGAAGCATTTAGATATGATATGTTAATAGCGATGAATTTTAAAGATATAATATGGATAACAAATTTGATAAATTTTGAATAAGTGTTCTCAAAAATTGAATAATTTGAACACAAGTGATGTTGAATTTAAGAAGTTGGGTAGGGAAATTTGGAAACTATGAATAGAAATTTGATATTTGAGAGGGAATGAAAAAAATAATAAATTGTATTATAAAATAAATAATGGAATATATAAAAATAGATTGGTGGTGATAATATAATGTAAAATTAATATATCAATTCAAATTTTTATTGGGTTAAATTTTTTGATGAATTTGAAAAATCCACATGAATCTGAAGAGAGAAAATGACGAATATTCTGTAATAAACAGAAATTCATCAAAAGCGACAGCTCTCAATTTTTTGACATTTGTAAATTCTAAATTGAATGAGAAAAATGAAATAATACTAAGCATAATACAATATTCTAGATTTAATTATAATTAGGAAAAAGTTAGTTTTGAGAGTACTTTTCATAGGCATATAGAATGAAATCTTCTGAAAAATAATATCACATAAACTCATATTATTTCTAATATATAACTATTTTATATAAAATCAAATTCAATGATCTTAAAAGCGAAGGATAAACCTCAAAATTTACGAATATAATGAGTGGGAATATAATGCTTATCTATCATAAAACCATATGAAATATCAATTTTTGCTTTACGCCTAATTTTTGACGACAATTAGCAAAAAATGTTAAATGTTAACACTCAGTCCATTTGAATATGAAAAATAAAATTGACTTTGATTAAATGTTTTTATTTATCATGCAATTCTTTCTTGCGACCAAAGATTTGAATAAAATTTCAAAAATAAGATAGCTTAAAAAATAATATACGGTAGTGTTTACTAAAGATGAATAGTAATAAATTCTATTAAAATGGATTTGATCCAAAAAATATATAAAATTTGATCATAAATAAAATCGTTTTAAATTACTTCTTCATTTAAATTATAACAATTATTTTTGATTTTTATTTATCATCCACATTCAAAATTGAATCTTATCACAAAAGAAGGATCACTTTTATGACTACTGCCAAATCTATAAGCAGAGAATGGCTATTTGAAGCTAAAAGAAGAATAGAAGAAGGTGAATCTTACAAAAGTGTGGGAAAGGAAGTTGAATTGGAAAATGGTAAAATTAAATTGAATGTTGCCGAAAATACAATAAGAAGAGCATTTCAACTTCAAGAAATCGAATTACCAAAAGTTACTCGCGGCAGAAAACCAAATCCACCAACATTTGAGCAAAAACAATTAATTCTTGTGTTTCACAATATAAAGGAGGAATTTCAAAAACTTATTTATTGATTAAAAGGTTTCAAAATATTGCTCAAAATCCCGATTGTGAGAAAGAAAAAGAAGAAATTGCAAAAGAATTTGAAAATATAGAAGATTTGACAAAAGATCAA